TCAGGCTCTGGGGGGGAAAAAAAAAATCAGAGAGCAGGAAGTGAGCCGCCCCCCCAGTCTTATGCCCTCCACTGAAGATGCTTGTTTCCCATCTCAATTCTGAAGGTGCAGGTGCATAACAAAATCTAAGCTAATACTCTTTCCAAAAACAGTCCTTCAGCAGTAAGATGTACTGAAGGGGAAAGTAAGGCTATGTCTACACTGGCAGCTTCTTGCACAAGAACAGCTGTTCTTGCGCAAAAACGGGCTGGGTGTCTACACTGCACACGTGTTCTTGTGCAAGTAAATTTACAGTGTAGAGTCAGAAAACGGCTTCTTCCGGAAGGGTTATTCCTCTCCCCACGAGAAATAGGCCCCCTTGTGCAAGACCTCTTGCGCACGAGGGCAGTGTAGACAGGCAACATGGATTTCTTGAACAAGAAACCCCTATGGCTAAAATGGCCATCAGAGCTTTGATCACTGCAGTGGCAAAGTGGGATTGATCCAGTTACAGATGGAGCGACAATTGGGATTTTCGAGGGCCCCTCGATTTATCACCTCACACTCCCACTAAAAGTCAGCGTGAACTAGATGCCTAACTCCCAGTGAAAAGCAGCCTCCATCTTCAGGGCTCGACCAGCTATTGAATCTATTCACCCGTGGCGAGTAGAGTTCAGCCCGGCGCCCCGTTTACCAGCAGCACGTGCATACGCAGTGTGGGGCTGGCGAGTGGCTTTCGCCACGGTTCATCAAGCCCTGTCCATCTTTATACACTAACTTCCTCATGTGCATTGCTCCAAATATAATTTTCCCCCCATTCTGGCAATGCCCGGTGCTTAGACACAAGGGCTATGTCTACGCTGCAGGCTTTGTGTGTGAGAACAGCCGTTCTTGTGCAAAAACTTTAGGAGCATCTACAGTGCACGTGCCTTCGTGCGCAAGTAAATTTACAATAAAGCTTCTTGTGCAAGAGTTATTCCTCTCCCCACAAGGAATAAACCCGCTTGCGCAAGAAGGTGGTGTGGAGGGGCACTAGGGGTTTCTTGTGCAACAATCCCCTATGGCTAAAATGGGCATCAGAGATTTCTTCCGCAAGAGAGCTGCCATGGACACTTGCACAAAGGCACATGGCCGTGTGGACACGCTCTTGCACAAGAATTTTTGTGCAGAAACTGTTGCGCAAAACAGTTCTTGCGCAAGATGCCTGCAGCGTAGACGTAGCCAAGCAGAGGAAGGCAGGGAGAACAGGGACGATAAAACTCCACATTGAAAAATATCTCGTGTGTCTGTTACTTACACACCTGGCCCAGGAGCAGCTCAACAGCGAACACCTGGTTTTCTAACTTCCCTGTACTTGACGGGGAAAAGAAATACAAACAGCCAGGCCCACGAGGAAGGGCAAAGGGAACAACTCCTCTGGGGCCCTGTGACTCCTGGCCATCACAGTACCTCAGCAGTGGTGATGGCTAGAACCCTGGGCCCTTTAAATCGCTGCCAGAGCACTGCTGCCGCAGCATGCTCCTGGTGGCTGTGAGGGGTACATGGGGAAGGGTAGGACAAGCACACTCTGCTCTACTGAGGAATGGCTGCCAGCAGCCCCTCCCCTTCCACTCGAGGCTCCACCTCTTCTGGGAGTGCAGCGCTGCCCCCCTCGCCCAGGCAACCTTGTTTCTGCCATGTAAACTCTGAAATGGGTTCTTGCTCCTTTTGGAGTACGGCCGTCAGTGCCGTAAATCAGCAGAGCTTGCACATGAACACGTCTTCTCCAGCTCTTTACAATGCACCCCCCCCCCAATAATATCAGCACACTCAGTCCCTGCTCCCGCAAGCCCCAACTCACACGAATAACGCTGAAGCAGGTGGGGCTACTCCCACGCGCTGTGGAAAAGGAGAGGACGCGCTGCCTTAGTGCTACAGCCCTGAATGCTAAGCTGCCCCAGAGACTGGAAATCTAAAGCTCTGTGAGATTCAAGATGATCCAAAAGTTCCCTTTTAAAAACAAAACACAGTTAAAAAAGGCGCGCCGGTCCAATAAATAGTTAAATATCATGGAAATGATCAATACATTAAACAATAATTTAAAATGAGCTATGATACAATTTGAATAAATATGGTTGATTAAGTGCTTAAATACCCATGCACGCGTACTTTTAAAAAAAAGAGAGCGTCCTCCGCTCTCCCAGTTAGCCCGTTTTTAAAGGAGCAGCTCCTACAATGCTGCCATAAAACCATGTGCCTTTAAGGATAAAAGAACATATTGCTTTTCTTAGCCCTTTATGACGTGATTCGATGCCCACCCGGTATGGGTGGGTCAGAGAGAGACTCATTTATTGCTCATAAACCTGAGGAGAAAATAAAGACTAGTTGGCGTCTTTCTGAAAGGACTTGCTTGCTAGAGGTAGGCTCTCTGCCTACATGCTGTAGGAAATACTTTAAAAAAAAAAAAAAAACAGCCAATCAGATTGGGAGAGGTTTCAGGCTTTGGTTACCTTGGATGTCCTCTCTCCTCCCGGGCAAAATGTACTGTCTCGCATTAAGGTATTTATTTACAATTCACTTCAAGTTCCTGCTGCCGAAACACCCACTGCACCGTGAGTGTCACTGGTATTGTAGGCGCCCAGAAAAAACTAGACTAATTTTGCTACGTGTAAATAAATCTAGTCCTACAGGTCATAACAGTTAAGGCCACATTAGTCTCTTCTATCCTATGTAGAAATAGGACTGATCGGAAAGAGCCCTTTTACCTTAGCAATACACAGATTCATGCAAAGTGATTATCACCCTAAAACACAGGTTTGTTAAACACAGCTGGTAAGTAGGCATCTGCAAGGGAGCCCAGCTTGCAGACTGAAAAGCCTCGTGTCTCTTACTGAATCTAGATTCCCAAGAGCGCTCCGGAAGCTTCTGTGTCCACGCAGCTGCTACTTGTGGCCTGGCGAAGGACGGCCCCCACGGCCCTGAGGCAGAGTCGCTGCAGCCTCTTTGGTTTGGTCCGCAGAGCTGCCCCCCTCCCTCCCCACGCGTGGCTGTAACATTGCAGAGGTCAATGGAGGCTCAGGCCACGCTATCTAGAAATGAGAGAGCTGCTCTGGGATTGGTTGGAAGATGCTCCACTAAGCTGGGAAAAGCCACTGTTGCAGGATTCCAAGCTTGACATGGACCCCCTAGGATGAAAGAAGACAGACCCGTTTGTTACACATGCAACAGCTTAGTAGAACTCGGGTACGTCTGAGAGCCAAGGAGTTTTATTTCCAGAGTGACGCACAAAGCGGGATCCTCACCGTGGTCTCTCCAATGGTAAAGATATTCACGGGACTTAGGTGCCACAAAGAGGAATTAAATTGTCACAACCAGGGATACAAGAATCCTTCCACCTAACAGAGGTGTTGACTCAGCTAAAATAATTGTCCTGAGAGCAGGGCATAGAAAGAGCTCTCTGGGGCTTTGCGTACAGCCTGTGGGCAGAGAAAACGTGAAGGGTTCTTTGCTATTCTCTGCCACTGACTCAGCACGTCTTGGATAAGTCAAATCATTTTGGTGCCTTCAACTTAAAAAATAAAAAAGAACCCACATCCACACACACACACACCCTGCCTCCAGCAGCCTGGTCTGAGGGTTGTCTATAAGTACTGAGAGCTTCTATGCCTCCAGCAGCCTGGTCTGAGGGTTGTCTGTAAAGCACTGAGAGCTTCTCTGCTGGGTAGCACCAGAAAAATGTGTTCGTTTCTTCCCCTTAAACGATCAAGACGTACAGATATTCTGCAGGTCTCATCTGTGTCACGCCTATTTAGAGGACAGGTCCGTTGTCACATGACTGATCTCCTCCTGCAAATCCCAGATCTCTCTGTTGGTTCCTTTGCCCGATGGTCTGGAAAGTGTGTGCAAAGTTACTCCTAAGCCCTGGCCTCCCAAGGAACAAGTGCTCCATACCGCTTCAAGATGCTAGCATGCCTATTAAAGATATTTGAAGTAAGACAACCCATGCAAGGAGTAATTCCTCCAGAGGATGTATAGTCGAGCCATAGCCCGCACAAAGGTCACCTCCCATCACGACCGAGGATGTGGCCGGCCTCCCGCTGCCCTCTAAGGAAGGTGACCCGCTACTTGAACCCATGCCACTGACATTTTAAAAATTAGGCACGCCGGAGTCACACACTAGCCTGCTCCTCTATTGCAAGCCACACGTGACCCCCACTCCACTAGCACGGCTCCTACCTGAAATCCTTGGACGCCAGCACCTCAAAGTAGTACATGAGTTTACACTTATGGCTGGAGACTTGCAGAGAGGCCAGGACATCATCTACTCGAGGGAGGCTGGTTCCAGAGCAGGGCAGAGGGCTGTGCATTTTCCACTGCAGAACATAAAAGCCAGGCCAACGAGTCACGTGTGATCCCTGTAAGAGAGAGGCACAGAGTGCCATCAAGTGTCTGAAGAAAACAGTCACACGTGTGATCCCTGTAAGAGAGAGGCACAGAGCGCTATCAAGTGTCTGAAGAAAACAGTCACATCTGAAGAAGTGGGCTGTGCCCTCGAAAGCTCATGATCCCATGTTTTGTTAGTCTATAAAGTGCTACCAGACTATTTGTTCTTTACGTTTATTCTGATACCAGACTATTTGTTGTTTAAGTTTATTCTGTTATAGACCAACGTGGCTCCCCCCTGCAGCTTTTCAACACAAAAAAGCGTTTGTATTGCCAAAAGGGAAAGTCAAAAATAAAAGGGTAGCGAATATCAGGCCCTCTAAGCTGCGCAGCTTCACAGGCAATTGATCAGCCCGACCAGCTAGAGGCTCAGGGCTCGGTGCATGGAGCCAGCTGACTTGGTGGGGCTGATCAATCACCTGTGAAGCTGTGCTGCCCTGCAGCTTAGAGGGAACTGCTTACCAGTCGCTAATAGATCATAGTGTGATGCTGGCAGACCAAGGGCAAGCTCATGCTAAAGTCCCAGGCAACGCTGACAAATGCCCAGCTGGAAACAGGCTGGCTTCCCTGTGTGTTAGCACATTTAAAATAGATATTAAAGTTATAACAACGTGTTCCAATTGTATGAAATGTTTGCCAGATGCGGCCTGTATTAACCCCACTTATAGTAACTCTGTCCCATGTTATACGGGAATATGAAATGTTTGGTCTAGGACTAAAAAAAAAAAAAAAAAAAAGTTTGCAGGGCAATAAATCCCCACAGCCAGGAGAGCGGCGTTACCAACTGACGTACTAGTTCACCTCAAGAGATGTTATCTTCCCCCTAACAAAAGACGGCTCACAGACATCAAACAAGCCATTGTGCACAACAAAGACTTCACTGGCTTTGTTCCATCACAGCTTGGAGGTTGGGGGGAGAGAATGAAATCGCCCGTGAAGGAGAAACATTTATTTCTCTGCTGTGTGAGCACCGAGAGGCAAGAATTTCTAAACACAAGCAAGGAGTCCCTAGCCATTGAGTTTGGATTAGCGCAAAGGGACTTAGAAGCTATAAAGCATTGCCTGTAGCCGCAGCTATTCTATTTTGGAACCTAAGGTTGTACCTCACTTGTGCGTCCATCTTTACCTTCTTTTTCCTAGTTACTAGGCTTTTAGTGAGTTTATTCCAGGGTTGGCTACAAGCATTGTCTGGTTTGAAATCCAAAGACCGGCTGACCTTCAGTACGCGAGAGGTCCTTTGGGACTGGGAGTAACCTGAATATTGAACTTTCGCAAGATAGACCGTCCCCATGGGCACTCTTGTCTGTTATGATGCTGTAGGCATTCACACTTGCCACTGGGTTGGTGGAATCTAGTTATAGACCAGACAGTCACTTGGGGGGGTTGACCTGGTTTTTGACAGTCTGCCCAGAGGTGGGCACCAGTGTTCCCTCTAAGATTTTCCATCTGTGACTGGAGTAGAGTTTTGTCTTGTGCACCAGTAGTGACGTCACGTGCACAGGGTGCACAGCCTCACTATGGCCTGGCTCCAGCTGCAGCACACAGGGCAGTCTTCTGCCCCACCACACTGCCCAGGCCACCAGAGCATCGCCCCTGCCACACTGACCCCCGCTGCCGCCAGGGACTCTCCCCAGCAGACCCGCTGCAGCCCGGGACTCCCACGCATCACCTGGGCTGTGTGATGGCTGCACCTGGGTGAGGCCATGGTGCTATTTTTAGCACCGCTGCCCTGGCCCAGAAGCAGCTGCACCATGGCCCTGGCAGCAGTCCCAGAACATGGGGCAGCCACCCACCATGTGGCCCCGCCCACGGGACAGCTGGGGCTGGGGCTGTGTGGCGGCTGCTAGGGCTGGGACTGCACCTGGAGCCGTGATGCTATTTTGAGCACCCTGAGGCAGGCTCCAGCCCCTTGCGGGGCAGCCCTCCATCACATGTCCCTGCCCCCTGGAGCAGCTGGGGCTGCGGCTGCACGGCTCTGCTGAGGAGGTGGGCAGGACTGACATTTTTGGTGCGCACCTGTGCAGGCGTACACCCTAGAGGGAACCATGCTTGGCATGCTCAGTGCTGAGCCACTCCAGGCAGGGTGGCCCATAGCATTGAACACTTCAGACTGTGCTAAAGGAAACAAGTGTAGAGTCCAGGTCATATACAGAGAGGGCTGTGGAAAGAGCCTCTATTCCCTTGCAATGGATGGATTTCCAGTTCTCTTGGTTTTTGCTCAGGGAGTCAGGAATTTGTGAAAGTTTCACAGGCAAACATCAGTGAAAACCACCATTCCCTTTGCTCAAAAGTCTCCTCCACCCTCCACTACCGGGTTCATCGCACTAGTGTGCCATGGCTGGTTTGGCAGCCCGTCCAACCTGGATGCTCTCTCCTTCCCGGCACACCAGCGGGGACTCCATGCGGCTGTAATCCACCCCCAGGACCCAGCTCCTATCGATGAGCTGCACGTTGTCCCCTGCCGCCGCCGCGCCCGACGAGGCGGCCTCTCTGCGACTGGTCTCAGGGGCTCGCTTGGAATGAAAGAGGCAGAACACCACGTCTCCCTTCAGGATGTCGAAGTCCCACGTGATCACGGACTCCCCCTCCAGGATTTCTACCACGATCTAGACAAGCGGCAACACAAGCAGGCGTTAGGTTGGCACCTTCTCCCCTTCTAATCACACACAAAGCTGTCCGGCTCCGGCAGCCAGAGCCCGCTGCTCAGCTGCCCAGGGGCTCCTGCAGATTTCACCGCTGGGGGTCTGCTCAGCCACTTTCACCACAACCTTCTCCTGCATCAGGAGTGGCTCAGTGTATGGCGCCAGTTCCCACAGTACCTCCCCGCTCACCAGCTGGCACCAAAGCAAAGGTTTCTGGGGCTCAGCTGAGGGCAGCTTTACGATGACTACTTGTGGGGTTCCAACGGGCTGTTGCGTGGGGGAAAGAAATCCAACAGCCTGAGTCATCACGATCCGTGGTGAGAAACGGGTGCATCCCCCTGCCATTAAAGGATTCCTGTCCCCAGCTTTGTCCTTTGGGATTGCACCTGAACCAGGGATATTCCCGACTCATGTACACACCTCTCACGCGATCAGCCCCACGACGGCAGAGGCTGAATAAATAAAGGAAACAAAGGTACTGGCGGAGAGCAGGGATGGGCAAAAGGGCCTTCGCTGGCTGGATCCAGCCTGCCAACCACGTTGATCCAGCCCGTGGAGGCCCTGCCATTCCCCCTGCCCCAAGGCCTATCAGAGCCTGGGGAGGGGGAGAAGCACACAAAGTCTCTTCCTGCTTTGCAAGCAGCACGTGGCACTTAGAAGCACCACACGCTCCTGGCAGGGTGGGAGGAGACTCTGCATGCTCCTTCCGCCCTTAAGCCCTCATTGGCCTGGTGGGGGGAAGCGTGCAAAGTCTCCTCCCGCCCTGCCAGGGGCTCAGCAGTTGAAGTCAACTGCCAGCTGCTGCTCAGCTGTTGGGTGACTCTAAGGGTGCTTCTACACTGCACCCTGAACTCAAAATAAGATATGCAATGTGCATAGTGCAAATTGTGTACAGGCAGTCCCCGAGTTACGTGGATCCAACTTACGTCAGATCCCTACATACGAACGGGGCTTTTCTCGCCGCGGAGGACACGGGTGGCGGGACTGCCCAGAAGCGCCGTGGTCCCGCCGCCCGCGTCC